CACCAGCCTCAGTTTGTATATTTGTGGCTTCTCAGCTACAGTGTGAGCATACATACATGGTTCAGTAACAAGATATTAGTCTCACAGTGTTCTGTTTTCTGATATATATAAATATATGTTGTTTTTTTTCTGGAGGAGCTTTTTCAGAACGTTCATATTTTAATGTAGTATTTTGGACATGTGCAAATTACAATTTACTCCAAAGTTCATTGTAAAAGAACCAAAGAATCCTGTACAATGTTGATTACTTGAGTGATTTATTTATTCACCTATTTTTGTCATGAACAAGTGCAGAATGTATCTGCACGTGACCACTGTGTGTCCCCAAACATCAAAGGTTACATAGGTAAAGAGCACAAACACTCCCCTTACACCACTTCTTCATAAGATCACTGTTTACTGCATTGGTGGACTGTTTGAGGGGCAAGGGTGAAAAAGGGGCTCCAATGCTCAGAATGTTGTGATGCATTTATGGTGAAAGCTTAGTCAGGGTTAGGATTAGCACCCTAGAGGACGCTTCATTCTATTTTCTCCACTAGACTCTAGACTGCCCTTAATCACATTTTCTCCATTGGAAGGGCACCTTAGAGGGCACATCATGTTTTCTCCACTGGAAGGGCACTCTAGAGGTAAAAGGTGAATGAGTTGAGCACCTTTCTAGACTTCCAACCACTTAAAGCACTTTACACTATGTTACATTCACCTATTCACACACTGATGGCAGAGGCTGCCATGCAAGGTGCCAACTAGTCATTAGAAACAGAAACTAATTTATTCATGAACATACACATACAAATACATTCATACAGGAGCAGGTGGGGTTCAGTATCTTGCTCAGATAGACTTCAGCATGCAGCACGATGAACCAGAGATTGAACCACCAACGTTCTGATTAGTGAATGACCCGCTCTACCTCCTGAGCTCCAGCCGATGCAGCGTATGTACAGGCAAATCTTCACTGATAATAATCTGTGTCTTTCTGGTTTGGTTTCTTTTGTCTTTGAAAAATTAAAGACATAACAGAGTGATGATCTATCCAAAGCCATCAGTGTGCTACCTCTGCTGTCCCCACACTGAAACTCCACTGAATCACCTGAAGGTGGGGCTATGCTGGAATTATAAAGGTGTAGTGTGAACATGATAAGATGATCAGAAAAATGTCAACGAAGCACAGCCTGTTCACGCCCACACAGTCTATTCAGGCAAAATAAGTGAACAGACTTGTGTAGGTGGACCGTGAGTGTGCAGGGACTTTGAGATTACAGCGCAGTTATTTGAATAACACACTACACGTTACACGAAAGCATCCAACTGTTTGTGAGAAAGGACAAGACCTGAGCTGAATGGAATGAGGGTTAGAGGAAAGCAGATACATAAAGCAAACTGGAGGGAGCAGAAGTGGATGTTTATTTATGTATATGGACAAAACATGGACAGTATCAAAAATCTCCAGTAGATGGCAGCCTTGCAATAGAAGGAATGTCAAACATTATTGTAATATCAACTCAAGGGGGTTTGATCTCTGTTTTAGAAAATATGGTCTTTTTTTATTGTTTGATTTTGTTAATCGACTATAACATTCAGACAGCTAAACTGTTTAAATAAACTTTAACTTTATTTTTTTAATTTTTTGAAAAAACAAACCAACAACAGACAGGATATGCTGAAATGTTTGACATTGTATAGAAAATAAAATAAAAAAGTTAAATGTTAATAGTTTAAAGGTCTCTGGGACATCTATACCCATGATTGTCCTCTCCATGGCTTTAGCTACTGCGTGCCATTCATAAGCACTGTCCAGTCTGTGGTCTTATTACAGAAATAGAACAAAGTTCTCCAAACAAAATATAAAGTAACAAATAAACTTAAGTAGAGACAAGTTCAGGAAAACATAAAGAGAAACAAAGAGATAGTAAAAAGTAAGACCAAAGGGGACAGGAGCAGGTGTCTTCCTGTAAAAAAAAAAAAAAAAAAGTGTTGTACTTCCTGTTTGTGTTACGTTATTGTCATCCGCATCCGGTTCCGGTAGCAAATGAAAATACGGTAGCACCGAGGCGAGAACCCTTGTTTTTGCTCATTATTTGTCTCACCATGGGTAAGTTAAAGCTGTCTTTCATTTTCACTTCTCATCTGGTGACAGTCAGCTGGTTGAGACAGTGTGAGCGCCGCGTCGCACAGAGCTAACGGTAACAGTGGGCTTTCAGCAGCTAGCTAGCCTCCCTCTGCACTGGCCATAACGTTAGCAGCCTGAAGGAAATGTCTCTCTTTAAACGGAAAACTAGATTCATGGCTGTGTAAATAGCGTCCAGTGAAAGCAATATTGTGCATTCTTCGAAACTGGCTTGTCAGCTAACGTTATGCTTATTCCCATAATAACTGCCATATCTAAATGAAGCCATCTTTCAAACACAGAATACAGGAGAAAAAGGGAGCAGAAGAGCATGAAAAATAATATTCTTCACGTTATAGCTTTATGTTAGTTAGCAGTAAATACAGTTGAATATGAGCTGAATAGGTAAACTCCAACGTTAACGGTCCGTTAGTGCTGCTGTTCAGCTCTGGCTGCTATGGGTTCATTGCTCTTTGTTTTAAAGAGTGTCCAATTGAAGACATGTATTGTTTGAGCTCCCTGACAAAGACCACAAAGCACGTTTTCCTATCAGTAAATGTACATTTATAAGTATGGAATCTGGCAAGTAAAGTAAGACTAATCGTGTACACACAAGTGTTCAAAAGAGGCCAAACATTACATTGTTCCAAAGCAAGAAAAACACTATATGAATATTTTACAAAGTGCTGTCCTCTGTCTCCTGTGACTGTGTGACTGTGCTACCAGACTGTTGACCGCAGTATGGCGTCTCTGTGTGTCCTTGCAGCTGTGGCCATGAGCTCAACGTGTCCAGGCCTGTACTGTGGCAGGGTGATGGTGAACGGATCAGTGGAGGGAGAGTGTGGTGTGAGTACTAAACGTCACATTTGTGTCTCACTGCTGGTGGCTGTGTGGGAATGTTGGCCATTGCCTACCTGCCACCTGTGAATGGCAGTGAAAAGCATCGTAATGGTCTAGATTACATTGTGGTTCGTCTGTCCTGCCAGGTTTGTCCTCGCGGAGAGCGGACCAACCTCCAGAAGGTGTGTGAACGCTGCACTGAGTCCCCTGAGCTCTATGACTGGCTCTACCTGGGCTTCATGGCCATGTTACCACTAGTGCTGCACTGGTTCTTCATCGAGTGGTACTCTGGGAAGAAGAGGTTGGGCCACACACACACACACACA